GTGAAGTTGACCACTCACCTCCATCTAGTGCCCAGGCCAAGAAAATGTGGATATATACATCCATTCCCCATACGCCTTCATGGCGTAGTGCTTAATTAGTTAAGCTCAGGAAAAGTTTACCTTCTTTATAGCTGAGCACCTAAATTTAGTTAGTATTGATATTTAAGTTCCAGTAACTTTGTACGAGTCCTATTCAGGATATTTTGATAAAACATCAGTGTTCAATTTAAATTCAAAACGAAAATAATGCAACCGTTGCCCAGAAATTGCCCTGGTATATCATTCCACCTCGCGGTCGTTGCTCTACACGCTAAATTCTCTTTTATTTCTTACGTTTCATTGCATGAGGCGGTAGGAAATTTAATCAAGTTCTTGACACCCATATGATTTTCGCTCGTTGTTCTTTGGCTTTCGGGTCCTGAGGTGTTCTGAAGGCTTAAGTTGGTCCTCACTGGTCGCTCTGAGGAAATACAGTATATCGGGTTGATTAAGAAACAAGGGAAAATCTATTTTCAATTAGGGTTTGTGGTTCTCACAGCAGTGGCTATGAAGTGTTCTATCTTCAGGGATAAAATGCTGTGTAGTGTCTTGAAAGTCAAGCGATATTTCGGTGGAACACGCCTCCTCAGTTTTCACTTTAAACGAATAAACCAAGCAGAGCTGTACTTGCTACCTGCTACACGCTTTATTCTTGCTGGGCTTATTCTTCTTCCCTAAAGCTGGAAGAGACATGTTCCTCCGAAAAGTCGGTTGATTTTGAATGGACCATACGGTGTTATATCACTAAAGACAAATCTGTTCATAATCTAGTTTTAGTTTACAATGTAACCAATTTATGAATGTAATTAACTGAAGTAGTGTGCAAAGTAAATGCAGATATATGTAATTAATACTGAATTAGACATTCGCTTTGCTTTGATTAATTCGTCTTCCCTTAATCTTCTCAATCTATTTGCCAATTGTTTCATCTTTATTCTTTTGCCCTTTAATATTATTAATCTTCTGTTCATAACGATTTCAAGTGAAAAAATTTTGTAAATGCCAAAAGTTCATTTATCGATGTTGGCAAGCCTGTCGCCTGACACAGTTTCCTGGGAGTGCATAAGCGCAATTACTGATATAATTAGAAAATGTAGGATGTATTGTTGCGTCATACTGATTTACACATCTCACTGTCCTTGTCTGAGGAAGAACTGGCACTGCGATACACACTGAACTGTTTCTCGAAATGCACTCTCTTTACAGAATCCAAAGTTTCGGCAACGTCAGAACAAAATCTAGTGCAAGACCTTGTGAGTTTTTTCAGTACAATTTGGTACTGTGCCTTTACTGAAAGAAAGTCACATACAGACCTGCCTCAATAAATAACTCACCAAGTGCTGGGTCAGATATGTAAGCCCTCAACTTGAAACCAAGATCTGGTAATTTGTAACCCAGGAGATTGTTGCAGGTAAGCGAGGAGAAATGGCGCAATAAGGATTAGCAACGGGATGCCGGGGAAACTCGGAGAAATATCTACGCCAGTGCCACTTTGATCACCACAAATCCCACGTGAATTCTGCTGATCCTCAACATGAGGCTTCGCTGACCCTGAGCTATAGTACGATCATATATGAACATATTTTTGTGTCATTGTCGCTGTAATGTGTATTTTATTTGTGGGAAAATATATTTTTAAAATGTCATCAATTTCATTGGAAATGTACTGAATATTGTTACATTTCAATAATTTCAATATTTTTGACAATTAAGGTTTTATCTTAGGATATTTAATTTCCTTGCGGAAGAAAATTCGTTCTTATTGCGAAAAATACCAGATGTTTACTGTGGCATGACACGTGAAGAGAGTGGCTGAGGACCGTAGGACAGGATTTACATTCTCGAAAGCAAAAGGGGAGTGCGTCTCTAGACATGTAATTACCAGATATCAAGGCGGCCGGAGCTTGATACTTATAACTTAGCTTGCCACGTCGGTATTCAGTGACCCTTCGCGTAGGTCTCCCTCAATTCTGTATAGAGCTCTGGGTCGTCTTACTAATCAGATAAATAAAAATCTTTACTGTAATCTTAGACCCTACTTTCTTAAATCTTAGTTTTTGAATTGTTATTCTAGGATTACTTTTTCACTATAGCCTTTAGTCCGACAGAAAGAGTACAGAGTTCTAAATGTTATCCATGCCATATTTTAAGCCGAAGAAACGTTTCTATTATTCAGCTGCAATTTCAGGCGTTTCTACAAAGGCAATGGAAAGCTGCAATCCAATTACAGATTCGAATACGCTCCTGCGAAGTTCATCAGACTGTAGAGATCACGCAGGGGAGGATCGGAAAGTGCTGTTCACTCAATTCTATTGAATATTCATCCCATCCCAAAAGCTGAAATTATACATATTAATGAGGTCCTGTATATCATATTGCATACGCTTGCCATATTCCTGCTCAGTGAGCAGGGTTTGAAATCATTTATTAATTTAGATTTGAACTTGACATAAAATACAGACTATAGATCGTGGTTACCAAATTTATTGAACACCGGAAACGCGTATGATGAATTTCAGAAGTTTGGGAGCCGCAAATAGGAGTGAACTGGATGACACTTGTGTTCAGGTCCATGCGTTCCACGCATAGAATTTTTATATTTAACGCATTTGTAAAAATTGCTTTAGTTAACATTTATTTTTCCTCGAGGCTCTTTGACGGTTCAAATAGCCGCATACTGCTCGCAACCCTCTTACTCACTCGCTTACTCATGGAACTGAGCCCTTCTTGAGGAGCCGCCAATTCTGCAGCTACTCAAGAGCTTCCCAGCATTTTATGGAACCCGAAGGTTTAATACCGTGTTCACAAGAGCCTTCCACTTATCCCTATCCTGAGCCAGATCAATCCAAGCCATACCATCCCATCCTATCTCTCTAAGATCCATTTTAATATCGTTCACCCACGTACGCCTTGGTCTTCCCAGTGGTCTCGCAACCCTCACTTTGGTTATTTATGTTACAGGCTATTGTTCTGATAGGATAAGTTCTCTCTGTGCTTTAATAAGTACCAAGCCATGAAGATGTATACTGAGTGGAAGTACAGCTCCACTTATTCTGAATTTCTGCACTAGATGCTCGTGAATAGTCAACTACACGCTTCAGCTACTGTATACCAGGGGAAAGTGGCCCTTGTATTCATTGTATATGAGGCTGGGTGGGCCCGAGGGCCGGTCTGAACACTGTTGAGGAAAATTCCTTGACCCTACCGGGAACCGAACCCCATTTCCTCGTTTCTTCAGCCCATAGATAGTCGCTACATCGACAGATCTCTGTTACTTCATTTTTCCAAAACGAATACTTGCGTTAGCTGCAGAAATGCAAGGGAAACTGTATTAATTTCTATCTCTGGGAACAACCAGAACTGCTTCCTCTCCACCAAATAGGCGAAATCCAAGAATCAAAACGAAGCAAATACTAGGACAGTAGCATATTCTATGTCCAATGTGTTTATTTTACAGCAATATGCAGAAATACCCAGCGGTTTAACGACCTTCGTACAACAGTTAACACACACCGGAAATGAACCGTTTTACAGGTACGACCCTGCCAGGTAGTTCCTGTGTAGCGTGCTGCTTCGTGTTTTGGCTATAGTCTACAGGGTTGAACTCAATGATAGATGTCTCTAGGTGCATTGCGGCGTGCCCAGTAAATCACAATTACCATGTCTTCTGGTTGGTCATTGCAGAGCACTGAATGCTGATAATCAGGTCTTGTGATCACGTCATCTTCTTGGATCACTTTATTCTAAAGTTTACGGTGTAGGCTGACAACAGGTAACTCTTCTTACAGCCTCGAGCACAGAATCTCATTGTGGAGCGGGGAAAATAATAGATTTTATCTCATGATTACTGAATTTTTGGGCTTCGTCCATCATCCGGTGTTCTAAAGAAAAAAACCTTTAAAATAAGATCTAAAAGTTTGTGACGATGGTACATTGCTACAACTATTGTGTTCTTGGACATTATCCATCGTCCTGTCTGTTTTGCAAAAACAGTCCTGTTTATTTTTCAGAACAACGTTTCGGAGACTGGACTCTGTCCACGTCTGGAGATAGGGACTAGCTCTATCTATTGCGCCCAACTGAGTAGGTTTTACCTGAGGACGAGGATAGAATCCAGTCTCCGAAACGTTGTATTTTGAAAAATAAACAGGAGTGTTTTTTAAATAGACAGGACGATGGGTAATGCCCCAAAACATAATACTTGTAGTAAAAACCTTTAGAATTCTTTAGAATACCGGATGATGGACAAAGTTCGAAGTCATAGCAATCCCTAATGTTATACACCACCGTCAAAACTTTTTAGAATCGAATAAATTTCTAACTGAAATTTAAGATCAATTCAATTTCAGCTGTAAACTGAAAGCTTTCTAAATTATTACATTCAATAGTGCGTGTAGGAATTAGAGTAATTTGAACTGCATTTAATGTAAAATCTGTCATGAGATGTCGGGGCTGAAACACGTATAATCATATTCTGTAGCTGTTATAATCTTGACGTTAAGATTTGCCGTGGATATCTCGTCTCACGGAACATATCAGTCCTCTAATAAGTAAAACCAAATTTAGAGTACCGAGTTCCTTCTACTTGGGACAAATCAGCCGGGTTTTGAACCGAGTGTTCTTAGCCGCTAAAAAAAATAATATATATTTATTGTGACTCAGCGCATTTTAATTCGAAAATAGCTTTATTGGTGAGACTGTCATATGCGTGTATTTGGTTGTAATGGCATTACAACTCCTGTTACAACACTGCCAAGGCCATTTCTTTGTCCAGATTTTCAGTATCTGCAGTTTTTTAATACTCTTCACATATTTAGCTCAGTTCCATGGGAATGTCGAGATATTCCTTCCATACGAGGAAACGAATTCGCCCTCACGCTTGCAAGAAAGTTTTCTTTCTTTTCGTCAGAAGCACTTTGCTAGGCCGGTGTGTCTTGCTCCTCTTGATCCCAATCGCTCGACTTTGCATTTGACATCGAGGAAGCCTATAGAAGTTGCGGTTACGTTACAATGGACGTTACTGGAAAACTGCTGATTTTCGCCACCGCAGTTCTGTTGTTTCTTCTGTATATCCTTACGATTTATGGGTGGTACTACGGTATTATAATTTCGAAAAGAGTCTAGCTGAAGGGTTTACCGGAATTCTATAAGAAGGTGGAATGCGTGCAAGTTTGAAGCTGAAGTAATTTTATAACAAGAAGAGATACTGCTTCTCAAATAACTACCAACAAAATGCGGCCATGATACGGTGAGTTGAAACGTTTCATATAAATTTGATGAATTTTATTTTTCTCCAAACAATTCTATGGAAACAGAGATTTGGTTCGTTGTCTTCACTAAGTTAATGTGAAGTGTGTGGTATCAAAGCGGCTGGAGAGTGAAGCTAACTATTTACTTTCGTTTAGTGTTATTTTATAACGCTCATATCCAGGGGTTCCGGGTGCGATTCTTGTCCAAGAGCTAAGTTATCCCTATCTAGGGGCTTTGTAGGGTTTCTCACTCTCGCGAGATAAATGCTGGGCCAGAAACTTAAAATACTTGACAACTTCTTCCTGTGCCATCTTCAGATTTATCACAAAATCATCGTCCCATTCGACGCTGTATGCAACTGCGCAATTGAGACAGCGCGACTAACATGATGAGCTAAATCTCCGCTCACGGGGGCTATCGCTCTGCTCATTTTCATAAGCTCACTTTTTGAATTAAAATCATATGAACAGTTGTTAGCATAGTATTGAAGCTTTTGTTTTCTGAGCCCTACCTTGAAGGAAACTTGAGCAAAGCGAAACTGGCAATTGGGGTGAAGCTGCTAGCTGAGGGTATACATGTCGATTAGAAGGCGTGCTGCTGCTGTTGTTACTTGCAATATAATTTTCTTCCTGCTGGAAAATAAAAGTTCAATACGGAGAACACGGAGGGGAACATTTGATTTTGACGACACTGCTGCAATTCCAATTAACTAATTGCACGGGGGTAGAATCGTTCTTGAGGAGCCAATATTAATATTAATTTATGTAATTGTATTTGCATTGTATGCATTGTTTGTAGCGTGTCCTTTATTATCTGTGTAGGTTTGTGTGCTATGTTTTGTTTGAGCATGGTGTGTTATTTTGTGTGATGTGTGTTACTGTAGTACCACTGCCATCGGATAAAACCCATTTGAAGTTAAAATAATAATAATAATAATAATGCATTGTGGCAAGGCTCGGCTTATGCTAAACTCAGGCCGATTGCTCTAATACAGTAATTTCAAAGCTATGTTAAACATGTGTTTCCTTGAGGATTTTCTCGGAGCCCAACTTCTGAATGCTTCTAACGATCGAGTACAACACGAAAGACACAAAAATAGTCATTACTACGTCCTAAAATTTTCAAGCATTAAAACTTTCGCCCTCCGGCCTGAACAGATTCAGAATTAATTATGAAAGAATGAACTTTCTGTCCCGTTGTTATTGTGGTTAACTTGATAAGATTTCATGTCATTTCTATGTCCCAACACGTTCATGAAGATTTCCTGTGATCCGAAGGAGACAGATCAAACCAATTTAACTTCTTCCAGTATCGAAACATCTATAGCATATTTTCCTTACTTAGCGGAGAAAGACAGAATGCAGTTCCATCATGTACCCCATTCTGTGTCTCCAACCGACGTCTGGTTGCCTTGCGGACTAGCTGTAACAATAATGACGGCTTCCTTAAATTGCTTTGGCGATGAACATTTCGTCTGCCCTCTGCCACATGCAACATGCACGTTGGGGCATGGAGAGTAAAAACGGAAAATTCTACTGTGGGATTCAGTTAAGTACATAGGACTGAAAATTCCAGCCTTTTCCGCACTGGAACGTTGTGGCAGGACAGGAGATTATAACTAACCGACCAACTCCAGGAAACTGAGTCTATCCTTATAAGCCGTCAGCTGTAGAGCTACTCAAGAACTTCCCAACAATTTATGAAACCCGAAGGTTTATTACTGTGTTCATAAGAGCCTTTGACTGGTCCATATCCTGAGCCACATCAATCCAATCCGTACTATCCCATCTAACCTCTGTAAGATGCATCTTAATATTATCCTACAACCGACGTCTAGTTCTTCGTAATTGTCTCTTTTCTTCTCGCTTTCCCGCTAAAATCCTATATGTATTTCTTCTCTCCGCCATGCGTACTATGTGTCCTGCCCATCTCATTCTCCTTGTCTTGATCATTCTAATTATACTTGGAGAAGAGTACAAGTTATGAAGCTCCTCGTTATGCAGTTTTCTCCACCCTCCTGTCACTTCATCTCTCTTCAGTCCAAATATTCTCTGCAACACCCTGTTCTAAAACATCCTCAGTCTATGTTCTTCCTTTAATGTCAGAGACCAAGTTTCGTACCCATACAGAACCACAGGCAAAATTATAGTTCTGTGTGTTCTAATTTTTACGTTTTTATACAGCAGATGAAAGATAAAACGTTCGGACTCAATGCCCAAGTTCAGTTGCAATAAACTGCATGTGTTCAATCCGAAACCCCTTAATAGGCGCTCCTACAAGTTTCCATCTTGTTGTGTACCAGTAAGGGTACTGCCGTGGCCGTCAGCACAATCTTAGAGTGAATAAAACTCTTATTAATGTGTCAATGTTTGCTTTTATTGCACTTACCAGTACACGTTTTGACCAAAGTGATTTTCTTCAGGTCATTTCCATGAATGTTTATCGTCATTGGATTCTTCATCAATAAAAGCTACCTGAAGATGATCATATTGACCGAAACTTGTAGTGGTATGTGTAATAAAAAACAATATTAACGTGTTTGGGCCACTGTTGTACCCTCGTTTGTGTTCATTTTCAAGAGATGAAGTGACAGGAGGTTGGAGAAAACTGCATAATGAGGAGCTTCATAACTTGTACTCTTCTCCAAGTATAATTAGAATTATGAAGTCAAGGAGGATGGGGTTGGCAGGGCATGTAGCATGAATGTGGGAGAAGAGGAATGCGTATAGGATATTGGTGGGGAAGACAGACGGAAGGAGACCACTGGGAAGGCCAAGGCGTAGGTGGGCGGACAATATTAAAATGGATCTTGGAGAGATAGCATGGTATGGATTGGATTGATCTGGCTCAGGATAGGGACCAGTGGAGGGCTCTTGTGAACACGGTAATGAACCTTCTGGTTCCATAAAATGCTGGAAAATTCTTGAGTAACTGCAGAATTGGCGGCTACATGCCCTGCCCATCTCATCCTCCTTGACTTGTTCATTCTAATTATACTTGGAGAAGAGTACAAGTTATGAAGCTCCTCATTATGCAGTTTTCTCCAACCTCCTGTCACTTCATCTCTTGAAAATGAACACAAACGAGGGTACAACAGTGGCCCAAACACGTTAATATTGTTTTTTATTACACATACCACTACAAGTTTCGGTCAATATGATCNCAACCACAGGCAAAATTATAGTTTGTATATTCTAATTTTTTTATGTTTTTGGACAACAGACGAGAAGACAGAAGTTCTGGACTGAATGGTAACAAGCATTACCCGAGTTCAGTCTCCTCTTAATTTCCTCCTGAATCAGATTTTGATTTGTTATCGTTGTTTCCAAATATCTGAACTGTGCCACATTTTCAGAACATCTGTTTCCTATCATTATATCATGATTTTGCCCTGCATTTTGATGACGAGACAGCAACATATACTTAGTTTTCTGTGTGTTTACTTCTAGACCAACCTCTTTACTTGCGTCAATTAAAGTCTGTGTGTTTTTCTTTATGGTATCTACATTATCACCCAGTAGATTCACATGCTCAGCACAGAACAACAGCTGTTCTGTCCCGTTTAATTTCAGTCCCACCTGGTTTCCCTGGATCTTCCTAATGGCATATTCTAAAGCAAAGTTGAAAAGGAGTGGCGATAAAGCATCCCCTTGTTTTGGACCATTCTGGATAGGAAATTTATCAGACAAATGTTTACCTACACGGACTTTACTATACGTTTCGTTTAAACACATTTTAATCAGCCTAACTAGTTTCATGAGTATCCCAAACTCTATCAGAATACTGTACAATACTTCCCTCCTAACTGAATCATAGGCTTTCTTGAAGTCTATGAATAGCTGATGTACTGTCTCATCGTGCTCCCATTTTTTCTCCAATATCTGACGAATGCAAAAGATCTGGTCTGTAGTTGATCTGTTACGTCGAAACCCACACTGATGATTCCTAATAATTTTATCTATATATGGACTTAACCTTGGAAGAAGAATATTGGACAAAATTTTATATGAAGTTGATAGCAGTAATATCTCCCGATGATTACTACAGTCAGTTTTATCACCCTTCTTTTGAACTGGTACAATAATAGACTTTTTCCACTGATGAGGCAATTTTTCCTTATGCCAAATAAAAGTAATCAGATTGTGGATCTCAGAATGTAATATTTCGCCTCCTGCTTGAATAAGTTCTGCCGGAATTTGACCACTACCTGGCGATTTATACCGTTTCAAATTTGCAATGGCACTTTCAACTTCAAAAGGGCTAGGATCAGGTACTAACGGCTGAGCTGTGTGGATTTCTGTCTGCCTAACATCACTGACCCTATGTACATTCAATAATTGAGAGGAGTAGATCTTCCACCTATTTAAAATATTGTGGGAATCTGCAAGCAGATCACCATTCTCATCCTTCACTAAGTTACTGCTAGGCTGATAACCCCTCTTAAAGTCATTTATTCCTTTATACAGGTCTCTAATGTTCTTGTTCTTACTCTTCATTGCAAGCTCATCAATTTTGTCTTTCAGATATTCCCTCTTTTTGTTCCTGAAATGCCTGCTGGTTTCACGTCTTATATTGTTCAAATTATCCCCAAATAACTCGCTTGGATCCTGTAACCACTGCAATTTGCCATGCTTTCTTCGATCTAACAGGTCTACATATCACAATACTACAGGTTTTCTTTGCATGTGCATTATGACTGGAAAAGTATTGCTGAAAATGGTAAGGCCTTGCTTCAATTTTTAGCATTACTGCGATGAATTCTCTTAAGTTTGAAATCAATCTAAGAGTATTAAAAATTCAGTTTAAACCTCGTAGAAAACGCATTGCTTCTCCACTATAAACACCAGCGTTTTGTTGTACTGTGGAGATCATGCTAATAGCTGTATATCCTGAGATTTACACGATATGCACTGTACAAACGCACTTAGGGAAATGGAGATTTTCACCGTCGAAACAAGGTGTTTTAATCCAATCCTTTAGAGTCTACTGGGGCATTAT